TTATATGCAACACCAGAAGGCTAATTAATGCTAATGATGATTGCTTACTACTTTAATTCATTCAGCTTGACTGGCAGTGCTAATATTGTTTGTAATTTATTTATAACAAGAATTCTTCAAGTTTATTGATGAAGCGGTCTATGGCGTAAGTACATGTATAAAATTCCTGACATATTCAGACTAGGGATGTGCGGCTCTAGTCGACTAAACTGTACAGCTCCTACTAGTCGACACTGAAAACAATAGTCGATTACACGACAGAAAAAAAAACTAAAACATGATTTTATCATTCAAATTACCGTCATTTTAACATTGCATTTAAAACATTTTAAATAAGTTAAAATAAAACGTTTGAAAAATAATACATTATTTTAAAAAGTTTATCTGTGCGGAAACTACATTTTTACCTCAGACCTCACATGCGTTTTCTTCGTGTCAGTTGCGGCGAGTTCAAAAATGAGAAGGTGTGGGATTATTTTGAATTAGAAGGAAACTGAAAAGTTTTGTGTAAACTGTGTAATGTCAAATTGTCTTACAATAACTCTACTGGAGCGATGCGTACTCATATTCAATACAGGCACGTATGCGTTAGCTTAGAGGCTGGCCAAAGCCAGCAAATGTCAATCACGTCATTCACTACAACCTGTGATCCCGTCCGCGCCGTCTATTCCTCTAACGAAGACCCACTTCGGTGGTGGTGCGGGATGTCCTGGCGCTTTCTGAAACTCTGTCGGCTTGCTTTTCGTTATCTCTGCGTGCCTGCGACTTCAGTTCCTGCCGAGCGCGTTTTTTCAAGTGCAGGAATTTTATTGTTAATTGCCTCAGGTCCCATCTTTCACCAGACCACGTTGATAATTTCACTGAACAAATAACGCATGGTCTGAGTAAGTAAAATGGGCATTGTTGCATTTTGTTTTTAGACGATATAGCCTACACGAAATACGTTTTTAAAAGCCGTTTTAATCCTATTTCTTGATAAACCTTTCTATTGTTTTTGACTTGTTTTATTATGTTGGCTAACGTTATATAGCTATGAAGATTAAGAATTATGTCAGGCTATTGATTGAGTTTCCATTGTTCTGCATTTCCCCAGCTGATTTGAATAAATAAGCTATGCTTTGGCCGACGTTGAGTGTATAACTTACTCTTCTTTTTATGTAATATGGCAGATGGCAACCAATAGAACAACAGTTCCTATTGGAATAATGCCCAAAACAAAAAGGAATTTTTGAATGGTTTAATGGAAACTATAAGAATTTCTGTGATGGTTTCTATTGTTTTTTTTCAGCAGGGTAATGATACCCATACTGTGCTGCACATTATTGACAATATTGAGCTGAAGCTTGACTTTGCAAATTTAAAATCGCAAATCAAATCGCAATCGCAATATCTGTTAAAAAAATCGCAATTTGATATTTTCCCCCAAATCGCACAGCCCTACTACACGCACGCACAGAGTTTTTTTTTTCTTACCATCTTTTGGGGGTTTCTTGCTTTTAGACTAGTCGGATACAAAACTTTCGTTTAAACGTCAGTCAAATTAGTCGTCGCGCACATCCCTAATTCAGACTAGGGGTTGTATACATGTTTAATATCCCCAAGACATAGATAATAAGGAGAAATGTTGTTGTCCTGCAGCTGAATTTCTTTCATTCACTCACACAAGCACACACTTGTCTGTTTTTCCCACAGTTGCAGTGTGTTGCTGTTTAAAACATCTATTAATATTTTATTACCCTTTATAAACTCACAACCTATAAGGCTGAAGTCTTCTTGAAGTGCCTTTGTGGAAACATAGGCTTGGGATTTTTGTAATGAACAATGAAGCCTTTGCTTCTTCCCTCCATATGTCATTAGCTTCAAAATTCTATACACAGTAGCCGCATTTTAAAATTTCATCACATGGAGCCTTCGAAGTCGACAAAACTCACACATGGCCGTGAGATCTTTAAATTGCGTCAAAGGCGTGATTTGACCGCCAGAAGGGTAACAATGGGGTGAGGCATCAAGATGAACAGAGCCTCATCACAGAATATATACTTTCAATAATGAGGGAGAGTGCCAAATGCGCAATCTGTGGGGTTGCTAGGCAACTGCATCAGCATCACTCCAGTAGCCTCGTGTCGAGAAACGCATTGGAACCACGCTTTTGAATGGCATCGCCTGACTCGTGTATGTGATTTGCAGCACATTGATTGAAGCATGCCCTCTTATGGCGATGGTAAAGTCACACACAGGCTGAATCACTCAGTTAAAGAAGTAATGATTCACAGGCATCACCAGTTCAGCACAGTTGGCAGCTTTAGTGTGACTATTGTTGTGGATTCGAAGTCTTCAGTCACAATGTATCACCACAAGTTGACAGATGAGCATGTTTCACGATTCCGTTGCCCTTCGTCTGTAGCATGTAACACTGTCAGTTATGAGCAGCCCAGCGTTTAGAAGGTCTTGCTGTGTGATCATTCGTTAGCAATCAGAAGGACATGATCAAACTGTGAACTTCTCTCTAGAGTCGCTGCTGACGGCAGCAGAGCACACTTATAAAAGAGAATCTGTGCTCATTAATTCAGATTTACAGCCCTAGCATATTATACATTTATGTACTTATAAATATGGCAACACAAAGCTACCACTATTCCTACCAGGATTTAGCCCCAAATTTTTCATCATCTCTCATTTGAAGTTTTTCCCCCCCTGTGTGTTATGATCATCTGATATGGGGTTTAATTAGGGGCCCTATGATTTCCGCGATGCGGAAAACGTAGACGGAATTGCGGAATCCAGTTAGAAAAATGGAATTTAATGCGGAATGTCATGGAATTTGCCAAATTTGGGGTGAATAAGTCAAAAGTAGGTCAGTACACTTAAATCAAAACATGATACGGACTAGTGTCTGTGACTATTGAGCTGCAAAAAATACTATTTATAATGAAACCTGCATGTTCTGCATGTCTCTGTGTGAATGAATGGCGCAGACGCGCGTTATCGTTTACTAGCCTCTGCTGCTTCAATATATGAGTACACAAACACATGAATATAATCTGTAGAACTGATCTGAAAGTCACTTCATGAGCATTTTACCATTTCTTTTGAGAAAATCTATCGTCATAAAGGTCCACAGCAACCCGTCAAAATCAAAATTCGGTTTAACTTGAAAGTGTAAGAGAAATATCTTACTTAAAGGGTTAGTTTACCCAAAAATGAAAATTAGCCCATAAATTACTCGCCCTCAAGGCATCCTAGGTTTATATGACTTTCTTCTTTCAGACGAATCCAGTCGGAGTTATATTAAAAATTGTCCTGGCTATTCCAAGCTCTATC